CCCGAAGAAACTAGCCAAGAAAACCCCATGATAGGTTCGCCTCAGGGTCACCGTATGTCGGAAACGAATTGAAGGCACACAACAACAACAACAACAACAACAAGGCCTAGAGAGAATTATAAGTCAACACGGCTCTCAATGTCTCTCAACTCAAAAATTCTTGTATTACTCTAATTTTTCATAGATTTATGGTTCCCAACTCCGATAGAGGCCAGCTTCGTCCCTCAATACGCATGCGCGCGGCCATTACCCATTGTTTTCAGCCAGCCTACCTCCTCTCCCCCTTTCCTGGTAAACAGCGCATGCGTGCCTATCCTAGTCAAGAAAGCGGAGAAGGCTCTGTAGCGGGAAGAGGAAATTTTCGCGCCTTTTTAACAGAATGGTTGCTGTAACCGCGAATGGGCACCAGGTGGCGCCATTTTGCAGCCTCAGAACAGCCATAGTCCAATAAAAGGAACTCTTGTGTGTTTCCATTGATCAGGAATCAGGATGGAAAATGGAGATTAATTTTGTGTATTTGTCAATAAAGAGAAAAGGAAAAACAACACGGTTCCCAATTGGCAAGGGGGTCAGAAAAGGCTGCATCCTATCACCCTATCTGTTCAATATGTGTGTATTCCAGAGGTCCAAGCGGGGTTCAGGAAAGGAAGAGGCACTAGAGATCACATTGCAAACATACGATGGCTAATGGAGCGCAGCAGGGAATTCCAAAATAAAACCAGCATGTGCTTCATAGACTATAGCAAAGCCTTTGACTGCATAGATCATGAAAGGCTATGGAATGACCTTAAAGACATGGGAGTGCCAACACATCTGATAGTCCTGATGAGGAATCTGTGCTCAGGACAAGAGCCTAATGTCAGAACAGAAGATGGAGAAACAGAATGGTTCCCAGTTGGCAAAGGGGTAAGACAAGGCTCCATCCTATCACCCTACCTGTTCAACTTATATGCAGAACAAGCACATTGTAAGGAAAGCAGGCTTGGACATGGAAGAGGGAGGAGTGAAAACAGGAGGAAGAAATATCAACAATCTGAGATATGCAGATGACACCATAATACTAGCAGAAAACCTCACAAACCTGGAATTCCTACAAAAGAAGATCAAAGAAGAAATTGCAAAAGCAGTCTTACTGTTGAACATGTTGTTATTACCCACCTTCCAGTTGAAATGTTTTTTTTAATATTCTTTATTAAGTTTATACAGCATGAAAACAAAGACACTAGAAAGACAAAGACTTTGTATCTAAAACATCTAACACAAAAACATTAAAACCAAAACATTTACTTATGTCCTTCCTTTTCTTTGCAGTTCTTTTTTTAATCATTTATTTAGTTAGAACATCAACAGCAGCAACAATGTAACAGCAACAACAAAGTACATAAAGACAAACCCACAATGAATAATAAAAAACCTAAATACACATCTAAAAAATACTTCTGAGTGACATTTCTTGCATATTTATACCATCTGCTCTTTTCAGTTCCTCTGATATATATTCATATATTAATATAATCACTACTCAAGAAAAGTAACTAAATAGCATTTTTATCCACATAATTTATAAATTGGAGGAAAGAGGGTCTTGGAGAGGTCTCATCCAGAGGGTGAGATTGACTCAAAGGTGGTTAACAACAACAAACAGTAAAGAGTAGAAAATAAATGAGAATAAATCAACACTAACCCTGAACAAATGGGCATCAATTGGAGGATGTAGTGTTATATACTACATAAACATTTCTGCCATCCTTATTAATGTCTGGTGCATTTTTAAAAAACAAAATCCAAAATCCACAAAGGAGTGATACGGTACCTTGATTGGCCAACCAAAATGCACTAAACACATAATGCAACTAGTTACAGGTGAAGTTTGGTAGATATGCCAACCTATGCTTGCTGTCACACTGTGGAATTAGTGCAGTCTGATACTGCTTTAATTGCCATGGCTCCATCCTATAGAGTACTGGGATTTGTAGTTTGGTGTGGCACCAGAGTTCTCAGAGTTCTCTGACAGAGAAAGATGACTGTCTTACAAAACTACAAATCCCAGAATTCCCTAGTATTGAACCATGGCAGTTAAAGCAGTGTCAAGCTGCATAAATCCTGCAGTGTGGCAGCAGCCCCAGGCTGCAGGTAGCATTGTCAAGTGAAATAATGGACAGGGCTCCTGTGCCTTTAGTGGTTGTCTTTGTTGTTGTTGTTGTTGTGTGCTGTTTCCAATTTATGGCAACCCTAAGGTAAACCTATCATGAGTTTTCTTGGCAAGTTTCCTCAGAGGGGTTTGCCACTACTGTCCTTTGAAGCTGAGAGAGTGTGACATGCCCAAAGTCACCCAGTGGGTTTCCATGGCTAAGCAGGGATTCAAACCCTGGTCACCAGAGTCCTAGCCCAACACACAAACCACTAGGCTATGCTGGCTCTCTCAGAGAGATCTCTAGCAATTTTCTAGGAGCAGGGTGACCAAACGTCACAACCTCGAAGGACAAGGCACTACAAAATGGAGGACATTCAAGAAAAATGTAGTACATTACCAAACAAAGCTAAAAACACTAATTTATAAGTTCATTTCATGTTGTTTATTTACATGCCCTTTATTTTATTATGTATTTTTCTGATGAACTTTGTTCGGCTTGAAACATACTTATAGAACTCTGAGCAAGACAAATGCTTAAAATTGTATTTTACTAGCAACAAACCCTTGATCGAATCTATATTAAAACTATTCCTTTCACTAGTCGATTGTACTGAAATTAAGCAGGGGGGAACCTTTTCAACATGTGCATTCTGTCCTCGAACAGCCCCTTGCCTAACATGTTTGCAGTCCTTTTCCCCCTCCAAGGAACAAACACAGGCTGAGCTCTGGGTGCAAGTCTTGTCTGCTGCTGCTGCTCCTAGGAAAAAAATAACATTAGAAGGATTCATCCTCTCCCCCTGTTTGCAGCAAGGACAGGCTGCCAAGTAGACAAATTTCTCCAAGGGGAACAGCAAATGCGGCGCAACTCAATGGGCTTCTTAGTCATGCCCAAAAAGCAGTATCAGACTGCACTAATTCCACAGTGTGACAGCAAGCATAGGTTGGCATATCTACCAAATTCCTCCCCGAGGAATTCCTCCTCGACAGAAGGTTGAAATGTAGGGCATGTCTTGGAAAAGGAGGACGTCTGGTCACCCTGCCTAGGAGAGGGAATTAGAGCAGGTGGTGCAATGGTCCATCAGCATGTGCTAACCTTCTCTTCTTCCCCAGTACAACTAATCTTTTCAACATCAGACTGTTTGCCAAAGAAGCATTTGGTGGATGGGAAAGGGAAAGTGGCCAGCATCAGGATAAGAGAGAGAGAGAGAGACCATCATCCTCCTGGATCTCTATCTCATTCGCATAGGCTCTTTGGAAACCCAAAAGTGTCTTCTTTCTTCTCATACTGCAGAACCACAAATGCGGACCTCCACTTTTCATGGAAAAGAAAGTTAGTTGTGCTGGGAATAGTCATTGAGCAAGGAGGTATTTAGAACCTCCTTGGACAATTAATGTAAAAAATGCATATGTTAAACCATCTTATGCCACCAGTAGGAGTCTGAACGGAGAAATGCATAATGCTTTTGGCTTGTATAATACAGTTGGATCTGTAGTAAGTTAAGCCAAGCTTTTTTGCCTCATGAAATGTTTATATGCCTCCTTTGTTTATGACTGAGCCTCTGTATTTGCGGCAGTTTATCCAAATTTGTGAAATGTGTGCCTCTCTTTGGTAAATATGGGCCAGGCAAACTTCATCTTCAGGAGTGGAAATCACGTGGCTCTCCAGATATTGTTCAACTGCAATTCCCAGCAGCCTTGTCAGTGTAGCAATGGTGAGGGATGCTGGAAGCTGCAGTTTAATAATATCTGGAGAACCACACAATCCTCACCCTTGGTCAAAGTGGTTTTAGGTACTATGCATATATGCATTTGTTGTTGTTGTTAACTGCCTTTGTGTCAATCTCAACCCAATGGATGAGACATCTCCAGGCCCCCCTGTCCTCCACTGCTCTGCCCAGCTCCTGCAAACTCATATTCATGGTCTCTTTAATAAAGTCCATCCATCTAGCATGTGGCCTTCCTCTGTTTCTACTTCCCTCCACCTTTCCTAACATTATTGTCTTTTCCAACAATTCATGCCTTCTCATGATGTGTCCAAAGTACGACAGTCTATGTCTTGTCATCTTGGCTTCAAGGGATATCTCTGGCTTGATCTGCTCTAGGACCCATTTGTTTGCGTACTCCAGTTTATGACAATTTGGTATGGACTAGTACTGATTTAAGTTTAGTTATTTTTACATTTGGCTGGCAAGTACATGCTGTTCATTATTACTTTCCTGATTTTGTTTTTGTTTTTTGTTGTGTTTTTTTTTTTTTTTGTTAATTTTGGAGTCAGGTTTTTTTGGGTTTTTTGGGTTTTTTTGTATATGTGTGTGTGTGTGTTGTCCTCTTTTATAATTATCATAACAAGTTGCATATGTATAATGAGTAGGCACTTATATCATGTTGCCAAAAAAGTAGGGAAGATACTCTCAAAAAAGAAGGCAAGATCTGACAGGATCTTTGCATACCTAGTTTGTATTGATAGATTCAAATGTATAGATAAGTATGTAATATAATGAAAAGGAGACTAGCCATGGCATCTGAACTCTAGACCTACTAAGAGACCTTCACTCCAGCTACCATCTGAGAGATCTTCAGCTTCTATCTGCCGCTGCTCTGGCCACAAAAGGAGACTAGCAGCAACCAAGCACACCTCTGTCTTGTTGCATCCACCTCCTT